ACTTACCACAAACCGGTTTACAGGTCGTACACTTGGCGGCCTTCTGATCCAGATGCAAAATATGAGCTTGCGAAGTTCGGGCATGCGCAGAAAGCAATAGTTTTTGGATTTAAAAGTGACACAGCAGTCTTGACTTTTTACTTTTCGCTTTCTCTCCTCCCTTCTTTTTTCGCTTTTCTTGCCTCATTTTTTTTTTCTCTTGCTGGGCATTTAGTAGGCTTCAATTTGGTGGGAAGAGTTTTTAGGAAAGCTTTTAGGATCTTAGGATTAGGTGAAAGGAAAGGTAGGTGGGTAATGGAACAAGATTTTCATGGAGATTTTCAGGTCCTTGTCACGTGGTTTTTTGCTTCTTTCTCCGGTGTCCTAGACTGAATTGTGCTCATTCTGGTATGCTTTGAAAGATCTCTTCACTCTGCACAAGTTAGCGAAGAAAGTTGTCCTTGACCGTTAAAACTGATGACGCCACAAAGGGTAGAAAGGACCTGGATCCGCACGGGCGGTTACGGGCGGTTTAGGGGCAAATGGGTTAAGTAATTCACTTTTTCATGCTACAACACTAAGTCTTTCTATATACCACGAAAAATTTTTTAAGGAACACAGATTTGGATTTGAACAAAAATTAAGTCAGATCAACGGATTGGGCCTAAAAATACCCCGGATTGGCGGATTTGCATACCCCTATTCACCCCCTCGTGAAACATTGGAACCGTGTGACGTTGAGGAACGCTTGGGACATTTTAACAGCATTGTTCCCAGTCTTGTGAGTATTCTGACCAAACAACATGGCCCCCCTGGTGGAAAATACCTCTTATAAATTCCTGGAAATGCAATTTCTGAGACTCTAAATTTCAAAATGTCCCTAGATGCTTCAGCCCTCAAGAACTTGTACCTTTGGTGCAAGTTTCAAAGCTGCCTACTATTCACTATCAGCCTGCTACTTAAAAACTTTTTGAGAGCCCTGCAAGCCCTGGGCTTATACATCTTCGTGAGGGATAAACGGGGTCAGGGTTTGAAGACCTCAACAGCACATCTCTATCTAAACTTCCCTTCTGTGTCTCCTCCAGGAACAAGCAATGACCCAAGTTGGATGATGGTAGAAAAAGAACAAGGAATGCTTGCAAATCACAAGCCTGAGCTGAGAAATACATGATTTTGAAGTGTTCTCCCAAAATCCTAAGGGGACCATTATGCTAGTAAATTAGGATAAAGTTCAGTAAATCACTTTTACATTTAAAAGTGAAAGCATTTTTTTTCCAGGTTTCTTTCAGTTTACTAGTGTGCAAGTTTCAGAATGCAGATTTTGAATCTTGGTTTATATACAAATGCAATAACCTTGATAACAGTTGCCAGGCCATCTCCTTAAAACATAGGCACCATCTAAACTCCCCACTAGTGCTACATGTAGCTAATGCTCTGTAGAAAATTATGAGGAATATATGCTAATTAATTTTGTTACTTTGTTTTGCAAGTATACTGAAGATTCTTATTACTACTTTAACAACAACAACAGTAAAATAAGCCAAACACCCTTTCAAGAAGTTTCAGTATTGAACATGTCATAGTAGGGTAAAAAATGATAATATTAAGAAAATAAATTTCATTGTGTACAAGACTTAAACCCAGCTTTGTTACTATTTAAACAAATCTATAATACTTATAATTCATTAAATATATCGTCTCTAAGTGTTGTGAAGGGGTTTCTCGAAACCATCAGTTACTTTTTAAATTGTCGCCACCCGATCACGCGAAGCGAAACGAATAAACTTTTCATCGTAAGCAACTATATATGTAACCTTATGAATCCCAATTTAATTAAGCTTAAGCTCAAGCCAGAATTTTGTACACTAATATTCTGGAGGAAACAGCTTCGGTAACTTCTCATAAAACTCTAGAACCCTTATTTAAGACTAAAATGTAAAAGATTAACAAGTTACACTTACCAAACCGTCCTCAATACACGTTTTATCGAGAAGAAAAATTTGCTATGTACAGCGAAAGGCAAACCTACTCACCTGTTAAGCTTGCTTCCTTCTTTCCCTTGCAAATTAGCATTGTTATCCTCTGCCAAAGAAGCTTTCTTCATCCTCAGTTAAGACATTCATTGGTACTACTCCTTAGCTGGAGCAATATGAGCCACATCTTCGGAAAATTTTTCACTAAAATACAGAACTATCGACTTCACCATCGACATCTTTGCTTCCTGTCGTGTCTAAGCACGGGAGAGACTGGGCCTTTTTACCCACAATGCAATATCTGTTTGGAAAAATCCAAAATGGCGAACAAGCGCATGGCTTACGTTGGAGGATTAGCTGAAGAAGTTGACGAAAAAGTCCTCCACGCTGCTTTCATTCCATTTGGAGACATCACAGATGTACAAATACCGATGGATTACTCAAATCAGAAGCACCGAGGCTTTGGATTCGTTGAGTTTGAACTAGCAGAGGATGCAGCCGCCGCCATTGACAACATGAATGAATCTGAACTTTTTGGGCGCACAATCCGTGTTAATATTGCTAAGCCTATGAAAATAAAAGAAGGGTACAGCCGTGCAGTGTGGAGTGAAGATAGCTGGCTAAAAAAATTCGCAGGAAAGACCGTGGAAGACGCCGAAATGAAAGATGCTGAAGAGCAAAGCCAAGAGGCTACTGGCGAAGAAGGAACGGTGAAAAAGAAAGGGAATCCTCGCGTTTTCTTGGATATAACCATCGGAGGGCGTCATGCGGGACGTATAACTATTGAACTAAGGCATGATGTTGTTCCAATGACTGTAGAAAACTTTCGCTCTCTCTGCACTCACGAGAAAGGGTTTGGATACCGAGGAAGTATATTCCACAGGGTCATTCCGCAATTCATGCTTCAAGGCGGAGATTTTACTAAACACGATGGTACTGGGGGAAAGTCCATTTATGGTCAGAAATTTGCGGATGAGAACTTTGTGCTCAAGCATACTGGCGCTGGTGTATTATCTATGGCTAACTCTGGCCCTAACACAAACGGATCTCAGTTTTTCATCACCACAGAAAAAACCGACTGGTTGGATGGAAAACATGTTGTTTTTGGTCATGTTATTGACGGACTGGATGTAGTAAGGAAAGTTGAAGCAACTGGTTCAAAGGGTGGTAAAACAAGCAAGAAAGTTGTGATTGAAGATTGTGGGGAGTTGTAACAACATCACTGCCTAGCAGTCTTAAATGTGATTACAACACTGCATGAATTTGAGTCCTTCTAGCACGACAACCACAACAACTAAGTGTGTCAATGAGAGTTGGACTGTCTGGTTCCTTCATATATTTTGTTTTACCTTATCTGACAGAGATAGACATCGAATTGTGGTTGTTTCACCTAATACAGTCTAACCTCTCTGTACAGACACCTCTCTATTACAGACAGTTTGTTTGGTCCCAGAAATGCCAAAAATCATACATTCCCTACCTCTATAATACGGACACGTCTGTAAAGCGGACACTTGGTTCTGTCCCTTTGGTGTCTGTATTAAAGAGGTTTGACTGTAGTCAGTTCACCTGATGCAATATCCTTGTGACATAACCCCTTTAAATCAGGGCAAACTGATCTCGGGCGAATTGGCTTTCAGATGAAATGACTTGTTGCCTACTGGACATCCATCACTTTATAGCCCTCCCAAAAATGAAGCTCTGCACCTTGTGGGGTCTGTAGCCCTGGCACTTACAGTTTCAGTGTATTGGGTAATATATCAAGCATGAGACGCAGTGTTTCATCACTGAGAAAAGAGTTCAAAATAGAATGTGCAGTGGAGTATTTTTGACAAACCTCAAGGTGTCTCATCTGGTAATAAAACACTGTGTCAAATGCTTGATCTTACTTCTCAAACAAAATGAATTTAGAAGGAGAAATTAAGGATGCGAAAATGAGTAGTTGTTCATCTGATTTCCAAACGCTTCTTGTTGAACTTTAATATCGTTTGTATTTTCTTTATAAAGACCTTTTTACCGATATGGCAGCCATATTGAATTTATTAGATTTAAGGAGTATTATGGGATACCCAGGGGGGCACTCGCTCAGTATTTACACGTGCTTTTCGGGTAAAAAGAGAGCTTCACTGTATATTTCTCAGGAAAAAGGCCATCATTATTACATCCAAACACGGCAAAACAATCTTTTTTCCCATTACAATCTTTTCTAGGAAAACTTAAAGAACTATTAGTGTGAAAAGTGTGTGTAAATACTGAGTGAGCATATCAGATTGTGCTCACGCCCGTGGGCATCCCATCATACTCATTAATTCTAATTAATTCAATATGGCTGCCGTATCGGTAAAAAGTTTGAAAAGTTTGGAGTATAAGAAGATAATTAGATGTTTGCATCTTTTGCTGATAGACAAAAATAATGATTTAGCCGTCACTCTTTCCTGAGGTAAGCTTGGATCATTAGTGGTGCAGTGTTTAATCAAAGCCTTACAAACCTTTTTCATTTACTGACAACATGTAGACAAACTTCTTAGTACCGATATGTATGTGGCTACAGACATGATATCATTAAAGGTATTAGAAATGGCAAACATGCTCTTAGCCTACGCTGTAGCTGGACTTGTTACTTGAGATCTTCAGTACAACTGGATGTAGGGATTAAGACTGTCTCCAATGATAGGCTAATTTACTCTGTACACAAAGGAATATTGCAGAATAAAATGTATGAGGGCAGTGATTTTGTTACCTCTGGGTCCTGCGTTCCTGACACATAAAAATCCTTAAAGAAGCAAAATAATTCATGACATGCATCCTACAGGACGCAAAGATTGATTGATCAATCGATCCAATTGTTTTCGTAGAAATATCCTGTTGGTGTAATTTCTGTGGCAGTTTTTATGGCTGTTGTTTAACGTTGCAAAATTAACCTCCAATATACATTGTATAATATATACCTAAAATAAGCTCTATCACAACTCCCTCAAGGCAATCCCCAGTTCAAGACAAAGTCAGGGCAGAATTAAAAGAGTTGAGATTTATCTCATCTTTAAGCTCATTTTCTAGGCCATTCCGCATGACTGCCCCCCTATAGCTAAAAGCCTGCTTAGCAGCTTGGCCTAGGTACAAAAACATTGTTCGAGACACCTCGTATGCTGTAGGAATGAACCCTGGAGGTTGGTAAGAACACCTTTAAACCCTTGGGATAGTCTAAAGATTATTAAGAGATTGAGCATCTTTGCTGTAGGGTATCCCATCTTAAGTCTTGGAGTTTCCGCAGATCTTGTATTGTTCTCCCAACGTTACAATTCTCCCAGCCTTATTTTGCAACTAGTCTGGAGTCTGCCACACAGGCCTTTTCTCATACGTCCCCAACCTTGGGAGCAATAATCCAAATAAGGAGCGACTAAACCCTCATAAATTCTCAGTAGGGTTTGGCGAGGCACCAGGGAAAGAATACGTTTTAAGCCCCCTAGACCTGCAGATACCTTTTCAAAGACGGTATCTACTTGGGATTGCCTCCCTGATGCCTCGTTAACCTCTATTCCCAGCTATCTGTAGTTAGTCACCCGAGTCAATTGTTAACTATTTACATTAACGTTCAAGTCACCAGTTAAATGTGTTAGTCGGTAGTGGCTTCCATTAATCATATATTTTGTCTTTTTGACATTTAGCGTAAGTTTATTGGATTTCAGCCATTTCTGAACCTCATTTTCCTCAAGAGTTGTGGGGTCATAAGCGGAAAGGGTAAGCGAGGTGTGTGTCATCAGCATACATAAGTGTACAGATGATGACACTGACGACAGCTCGCAATCTTGTATGTTTTTTATAATTGAGAAACAACAACGGCCCAAGTACAGAAACTTGTGGGACCCCCTAACTAATCGGGAGATAATCTTACCGTCGCTTAAAAAGTGAATTCGCAGTTTTTCAGTCTTCATCACGATTATTCCAACTAGCTTGCTAACGTTGTTGAATATATGCGAAATCTCATCCTGGTAGAGTAGATTCCTAAGAGCCTTATCAATCAAGTCCAGAAAGAGGAAGAAACTTTTGTCGACGCTTGTTTACGCCCTCCATAAAACATGAAGTTAGGTATTTTCTCGTCGTAGTCGTACGAGACGGTAAAGAAATCTACAAAAAACCATGCTGCTTGTTGTGCTTAGTACCTATTGCTTTTTTGACGTTCTTGTTGCTGCCGCCGTCGTCGGATCTACCTGTCCGAAACGGGGAGACGGTTCAGTCAAAGGTGGGGCAAATACAGACAATACAGTTTTGGAACAAACAATTTGACGATTAAAAACTGATTCGCGAAAACGTTTTATTTTATTTTATTTATGTATGTATCTTGTGGTGCTTCGCGTTTAAAACACAAACAACAACACTGACCAAGACATCTTTATATAAAAGACATTTAATACTTTCAGCTGTCATACCGTAAACTGCCCCCTGTGCTTTTCTTTGAAGGGGCTTATAAAGGAAGGGCCGGCTTATTTCCGAGGGGGCTTACTATCGGAACAGAAAAAGTGCTTCGAAATAAGCTTCAGCAGTGCTGATCAAAATACATTTTGCATTTACTGGTTCAATTACAACTAAAATAAAAAATAGAAATAAAGTCGATACGTAACTCGTGACAGTAATAATTGATAAACATGAGGCCGAGAGTGCGCTCATTTTCAACCTCGTCCCCAGGGCGTTTTTCTCTGGCTTTGGAGGTGGGCCAGGGAAAAGCGCCCTGGGGACGAGGTTGGCTCATTTTACCCCCTCTTTCCATCAATGCTCCGTTTGAAGGGTATTTAAAGCTAAGCAAAGCTACACAGGAAGGAGAGAAGATATTACTGGGGATAGAAATCGTGACCTCATGTACCGAAGGCCGCGCCCTAACCAATTGTGCTACCCTTACTCCTAAAGCTTCAAAAGGTCATAATAAATTAAATCATTTCCATACATTTGGAACACAACTAGAGCCTGTTTACACGGACGTGGCGGACCCCATGTAGGTGCGGTAAACCGCTTAGGTGGGGTAACCTGCCGGTCCATATAATCTCTCATTTTAACTTGATCACCTTTTCATGATCGGTAGCAGGTGACCATATGAGAGATTGTATGAACAGGCGGGTTACCCCACCTAAGCGGGTTAACTCACCTACATGGGGTCCCCCACCTCCATGTAAACAGACCCTTAGAGGGAGGCTTATATCCGAGGGAAGCTTGGGTGTTTTTTTTGTTGTTTACAGGTAGATGGGCCTGTAACTGGAGACTTAATCATAACCGGCAGCTTACGGTATTTGAAAAATTTTGTTAGGCATATTTGGAGTCTATAAAACAACGGAGCATTAAACATGTGGTTCGATGGCTTATTTGGGTTATGGTAATTAATTTAGATCCCCCACCGAAAATTGGCAAAAAATAAAGAAATAAATTAAGAAATAATCTCAAGGATCTTCAAAGTTTTTTTTAATATCCCAAGAATTACAGCACGGTACACACGTGCGCCACAAATCTGTCATACTCTCGAACTGATCATGATTCATGATTTTTCCTGGATATAGATCGTTTTTAGTCACGTGGTCTGCAGCTTTGCAAATTGCTTGGAATAAAAAAAAGTCTATCATGTGAAAAGAGTTCAATTCCCACAGGATATATATATTTTTTGTACACAAATATGGCTGCCGCGACGTCATGTGAAAACGATCTATTGGCCACAGAAATGGAAATAGTGAATTACTTCCAGGCAGCTGTCAGTAAGTGACTTTCATTTTCCTTAATGCGTGGGCTCACCTGACGAAAGCAGATAAAATTACAATAGAACTCGCTTACGTCAGAACACCGGACCGACCAAAAAATAAACACTTTCGGCCGGTAAATATAGCAAAATTGCCCCTCTTTAAATCGAAATAGAGCCAATACTCAAGGATATCATCAATTTTACTCGGCAAGCTTAGTTGATATGGGTCTTTTTTCGACGTTGTTTTTATTTGCTCGACAGAAAAAAAAGGCTGCCAGAAAAAGTCGATGTGATTATGATGCAGGCTTGACTGTGTGAAAACTTTAAATAATAAATAAATAAATAAATAAAAACATACATAAGGGAACAAATGTTGTGAAATTTTCTTAGTCGAAGGCAAAAGTCGTCCTTAAAATTATGTGAATAAAGGAAGAAAAATTTCTTCACATACGGTTTCAACACAAATTGATGAGGCGATTTACAGTTATATGACCTCTTCATGCAGGGATCGTGACACAGCATATTTTTTGTCTTTTTTTCCAACGAAATACCTCTATTTACATTTTTATATCAAAACTGCTTTATATATCAGTTTCATGTCAGTTCAGTTTGAAACCTTCGAACAGGTAAAAAGGAATCATTCTGGGTAAATCCATCTCTTATTTCATTTTGTTCATTAATTTTTTATTTCGTTTTCCTTATTTTTTTTATTGTTGTTGCTTTTTGTTTTTTGGCAGACCAAACGTGCACATGAAAAAAAGAAAATTAATATATGAGAGCAAAAAATTCAAACTACGTATTCTGGCCAGCTGCAGACTGTTTTCGCGCTTTGCGCGTTTTAGATGAGGGCGTTGTCATTTCAACCAATCAAAGCGTTGTATTTCAATACTTTTTCCGCTTCAATACATCACCTCGCAATGACAAAATGCATAAATAACAAAGTAGGAAGGGGGCAGTTATTTGGCGGGCGTTTCGCTTGATCACAAATTAATGTACTGAGAATTGTTCTATTTCTCTTTTTATGCCAAGGGAAAATATGCTCAAGATCACCGGACAAGAATAAGTCGACCTACAATTAGAAATCTTCATTCTTCAAGCACTGAACCGTCACAGTTCGCCATGGACAGAAAATCGGTGGCCGTTTTGATTTTGATAGTGATTTTGACCGTGTCAGTGATATTAGCGAAGTCTTCCTCTTATGATTTTTTTGATGATCAAGCGAGGGACTATTACGACACTTTATATCAAAGAGAGATTCCTAGAGAACGAGTAAAGAGCCACAGGTTAAATGTTGTGGATTTCAAGATGCCCGGTATTCACCCGGAAAAGGTAAGCTTACTTCTTACTAAACAGGAAAGATTCTCTTGCCCACATTTGTCGCCTTTAGTAATTATTTTTGCCGATCGGTGTTTATGGGCTTTTCTTTGAGCATCGCTTATACTTGTGCAGTAAAATAATTTTAGTTGATCGTACAAGTGCCAAATTCACCACTTCTCTTTGATTCTGATCTATCGATGGAGCAACTGAAAACCTGTATATTTCTTCCTGTGAACGACGAGTAAGGACCAGTAAGTTATTCACAAAGTTATTTTTGTCAGCTGGTTTTCTATGGGCAGCTAATTATCTTTTATAAATTCTACTTGGTCACACTTGAAGGAATATTACTCAAGCGTTCTAAACACGTTTATTTAAGTAAATTTCTTCTAATAACTTACATGTGAAACCTTTGACGTTTGGAGCGAAAAAAATCGTGTTAAAGTGCATGGCGATTGAGAAGACACTAGCCTGGTGGCAATCGGTTAAGTGAAAATTCAAAGTTAAAAAAAATACCCTGTTTCCCCACAAATTCCTTTGAAGGAAGAAGCATTGTTTAAATAAAATATTGTACTGTATGTACTGGTGAACGTCTTTAGCGAGGTATTTCGTAGATATTTTATAATAGGATCGTATGCTTGAAAAATTACTAATTTCTTCTGTGATGAATAAACATTTTCCTGCAGAAATCAATTTTTTTTTCAAACAGCTGTACGGGATCTTACCCTGATGGAATTCCCACTTGGGGATTTTTTTGTGGGGAAGAAGAAATTTTTACACTTGATATTGATAAGTTAAGTGAATAAAAATGTTTGGTTTTGAAGAGACAAATTTTCAAAAATTGGAATTTAAATGCTCTGTTGACTTTCAAGAACACACTGGCTTTATGTAGATATAATAATTATTACAAATTTCAAATCATTAAATTATTCGGTGATTCATTCATGTACATATAATTTGTAAGGTTGTCCAGATACATATTTGTTTGTTCTACAAATTTTCAGAGCTTATGCAATTAGCCATCTATATCCACCTAGTTTCTATATCTTAATTCACAGATTTATTGTAATTGTTGTGGTTCAATTTTTTCCTTGGTTAAATTTTCTTTTCTTTTGTTTTTGGGTATGGTAAATATCTATTTGATATAGATTTTGAAACAAGAGAAAAGAAAATTTAAACCAAGAGTAAAATTGAACCACAACATAATCATTATCATGGTATTTTGGGATTACCACTGACTTTTTGCAATGTGTCTGTTTCATTCAGGAAACCTAACTGCCTTGTATTTATTTGGAAAATTTCACCCTGGTTACATTGTTGGGTAACAAGAATTCATATGCATGTATCTTATGTCTAATGCATTGATCAATTCAAACTTTCATCATCTTCAACCCTGGGCATTTGAATACCCAGGGCAACATCTCTTGGGCCCGTAAAAAGAGCATGTGAAGTAGTATTATTAAAATGAAGTTGACTGAAGAGAAATTGGAATTTTTGCTTGCTGTTGTTTCTTTTTCCGTGTTCTGAGACTCTTCTCGGAGAACCCATAGTGGATGTTTAACTTGTGCTTACTCACTTTGATTTTCATTTAAACACTTTCTTTATCAAATTGTGTCCTAAAAAATTCTGTAAAAGCAATTTTTTAATACTTTCTTCTTCCCCCTTTCACATACATTCAGCAGAACCACTCACCTGTGAAATTTTAATAAGGACAGTGCTTCCTTTCGATGGTTCCAAATCTATGTTCAGTTTTTGGCAATTTTATTAAAACGGATTTTTATAAAGTAAAAACAAGGGCATTAAAAGGCATTTTTCTGGTACATAAGTGGATAAACAATACATTAAAGTCAAATTCTGTGTGATGTCACATGCATCATTGGAAAAATCTCTCCTTTTTGTCTAGTTTTGCGCTGCCCGCGGTTTTTGTAAAAGGGTCCTAAATAGCCGTATTTGTCATCATTGTGACGTCAAAACGAGCACGGTGAACCCCACTTTTTATTACTTTTTTATCATCTTCTTGACTTGTTACATCAGTGTGCCAAGTTTTAGCTAAAATCTATGTTAGGTTCTTTTACTATGGAATCACCTTAATTCCTGTTACATTAAATTTTAATAGGCGATTGTAGTGGTCAAGGGTTCTACCGTAAGGTTGGATATGACTGTCAGTGCAGATTGTGAATTTGAAAAATAAACTCAGACCCCTGAGCGAATCCTCGTTCACTGATTGGTCAAAATTTTGAGAGTATAGACCATGGAAATGACGTGACATGTAACACAGTGCTTGATGCCCTGACGCCATAAAATGTTCAAAACTTTGCAGCAGAACCACTCGCCTGTGACTCGTGGTTCCACTTGGGTTTTGAACATTTTATGACATCATTTCTATGGTCTATAAGAGTGTAGACCACAGAAAAAATTGTGGTTTTTGAGAGGACAATTTTGGCCTCAAGTGTCTGCTAATTGATTGTTAGATAATAGCTTTTGAATTCCTTGTCAAACTAGCCATTCGCTTACAAAACTACATTGGCAGACACTGGGTCATATAAATGTTGTAGTTAATTTTTTATCTGGGGTAATGTTTATTTTTCCTTTCTTTTTGGGGATGGTAATGTATGCTAATGAAGTTGAAACAAGGGAAAAATAAAAATTACCTGAGATAAGAAATTCACCATATCATATATACAAAGAAGTTGAACTTGACACTTTCAGTTCAAATTCCCTAACCCACCTAGTACAAGGTCAAATTCCCTACTCTTAGGGTGCCTCTCGCCTCAAACTTCCCACTCCCCTGGCAAAAGGAAAATCTTAGTTTTTCGTAGAAATTATGTGCTAGGCACCCTTGATTTCACAGGTTAGAGCACTCGGCTCCCATTTTTTCTAGAGGGCACCCTTCTTGTTAGTTAACCACTTTAATTCTTCCAGTTGGAAGTGCAGAGTCCGTTATAAGAACATAACATAACCAATTAACCATTATTAAATAATTTTATTACCTTGCAGCATGATTCATACATGTGTACAGCTCTTGATCTCAGTGACCAGAAACACTATATAGGTAACTAGCTGATAGGAAGTTTTTATTGTCAACTCGTGAATACCTGAAGGGTTGGGGGGGCAGGGTGGTCACAACCTCCCGCTTCCCGTACCTTGTTCTCCTGCCTCACGTACCTTTTTGTCCCTTTGTCTCCCAACTCCCGCCCTTTATTGTGTTTCTCCTTTTATCATGAAAATTAGAAAGATTAGAAGCCCAGCCTGGTTTAATGTTAAAGCTGTGGGATACTTTTGCCAAAGATGAAAATTGTTACAGGTCAGTTTTCTTAGTTAAACTGAGTTTTCACTAACCTGGTTATCTAGGTTTGACCATTGCTTCTGACATCCCAGTACAGCAACAATAGTCTCAGTCCACTGTCCAGTGTAATAGCTATTGCAGTTATTGCGAGCTTCCAGGAAGGTCTTCCATGGACAGATTTTTTCCTACCACACCGAAAAACACTGCGACTGATCAAAATGGTCTTTGACGACATTGACTCACTTTGTTGTTCTTGTGGAGAATTTAGACAGCTAGCGAGACAGAGGAGACACTGACACGACTGATACAGTTGACACACGTGTACATGTGTCATGCCATCTCATTCATGACCTATGATGTAAGCGACTTGTAAAGGTTTCCAATTTCACTGGAAGCGATGCTGTTTTTTTTTTCTATCCTGAGTGCGAATTTTCGTTTTTTGACTTATCTCACATATAAATTTTGCTTAAAGCCTCGGAGAATGTTAAATGGAAGTCAAGAAATGTTGTAGGGTTTGTTTCTTTGACTGGATGATAAGCAGTAACAAATAACAAAAGCTTGCCTTTTTGAAATTCTCTCCTGCTTCCCACCCTTTCCTCTCCCATCTCCCGGGCTCCTGCGCCCCGTCCCCCTCCACTGAAGGGTTTTTCACCGAGTTATCACTGTGGGCTGAGAAGTGCAGATTAGTCACTCACTCATTGTAGGCGACCTTTGGCTTGCTCCAAAGTTGCCTGATATGGAAAAGACATATTGTCGTTGTTGCTGAAGTGTACTTTGGGTATGCATTTACTCTCACCACCTCGTAAGAGAATTCTGGGAAAAAGATTGTCTTGCTCATAGTCTCTGTGGAAACATCAACACTCTTTGTTGATTGCATCAGTTCTGCAGGTCGCATATTGACTGTATTCACATTGTTCGCTTTGAGTATCTTGATCTTAAGCACTGCTGGGAATAAAGCATTAAATTACAGAAAGACTCTATCAAAACTTAATTTAAAATTCAATTTCAACATACTCTCTACTTCAATTTTAAAAATTTATGAAAAGACTGAGCCTCTCTGTGCATTACGTGTCCATTCTGATCAGAACAAGTCTTTCTTTAATTCAATGCTTTATTCCCTGCTTCCCATTTAATGGAAAAAATCAGCCGATTTCTCTGAGCAAAGTAGCTGACATATTTTGTCGGTTGTTGGTGCTTCTTGAACATCTGGCAGACTATTGATGTCTTTAGCAACCATGATTAAAAAATTTCAGATTTTCAATTTTGTCAATTTCAGCTCCTTTTGCTTGAAATTTCCAAGCTGTCACTTCAACATTTGCTTCACAGAAAATCTTTTGTTTACTTTAACAAGCTGTTCTCGACAAATGGAAAAAAAGTTTTGTAATTTCCTTTGCAGTGGGATTCAAGCCTTTTGCTGAAATGCACACTGCTCATCATATGTTAATGTTTGGATGTCAAGCCCCAGGAGAAAATTTGTTTGCTAAGGATAAAAAATATTGGTATGTGCTTATATTAACACTTAATAAAAATATAGTGTTAGCAGTATATTGATTGCCTTCAGTCCTCTAATCAAGAGAGTCAGGTAGGTTTTTTGTATACAGGCTTTGTATAAAATATGTCTGATGATATATTTTTTTAATTTTACAAAGTTTAACCAGATTGGTAGCATAATAATAATATTTTTCTTTCACTATAGTGGAAGTGGAACCTCATGTGCAACCACCTCTCATAAGCAACCCCCTCCGATAATCAGCCAACTATTCAAAACACTAAAATTTCCCAATCCCAGCCCTATGGTTGAAACTTCTCCTAAACAACCTCCTCTGGTAATAGCCCATTTTACAGTTACAGGTGGCAACGAGGCTGGAGTTGACCTAGCCTCCCATGCAAGCATTTTTAGGGGAGCTCGTATTTCGTCCCTCCCCACAAATGCCTGCTCAACCGAAGACAACATTCCTTTCCCAAGCTTAGCCAATCACACATTGTACTTTCCCTATTCTGGAAAGTTGACCTTGACCACAGGGTAACGCGATAATTACACAATCTGCATGAAACACTGGAGAAGCTTTATAGGAGACCACTAATAAATGTTGGACTTAAAGTGGCAAAAGTAAGATTTAGTCAGGTTTTACAATACTCCTTGTACTGCATAACCTTAGGAAAGGAAAGAAAAGAAGGTAACCCCGGGGTCACATTTTTACTCTACCAAGAGGTTATGATTCGTGTTTAGCCTGTGAACACTTTATTTCAAAACTGTTGATTGGTCACTTATCACGCAAATAAAACAATGGGCAAGGAATGTTGTTCTCGTTTGAGCAGGCGTTTGTGGGGAGGGACGAAACACGAGCCTCCCTAAAAACACCTGCGTGGGAGGCAAGAGTACTGTTGACCTTGTTTTGATACAAACAGGGTCTGGAAAAAGTCTTGAAATTTTGGATCTAAAAATCGGTACAAACTGCTGCACAAACCTCCCTGCTTTGACATGTAAATCATGTTGTTCTTATGCTAACTAGTATTTTTTAAATGTAATTTCCATAAGAAAAGGAAGGAGGTAGTACCTAATCAAGGTCGACCTCAACCTCACATTCAATTAAAGGCTAGGATACTAAGCCCGCAACTGTAAAATTCACAGTAAAATCTTGCTATTTTTGTACAGGAATTGTGGAGATATGGGCTCAGGCGTTTGTGGTTCTGGAGAGAAAATTGTGTATGCTTGGGGAAGAAATGCACCAGAATTGAAACTTCCTAATGGTAAGTACAGTATATTTAGTGGCCCCTTCAAACATCTTTGCAAGCAACATTTGGATGAATGCCTTATAAGAATGAATAATAAGTGTACTATGCACAAGGTTCATCCAATCAAAATGGATTTTTCTGCCCTTCCATTATTTTCAAACCTTTATTAAGTGGTCACTCTTGGGATAAAAAGTGGCCCGCTAATCTGATCACTCAATCCAGGTTTGACAGACCTAAGACTTAATTAAGTAATAGAAGACGGCGTGTCTAAAATGGCCCTGACACTTTTCCACAGGTCAGAGTACAGGTCACCATGATACAGATTAAAATGATATGGCATTAAAAGTGTCTCCTAGCCCTAAGCTTTTACAAAATGCTTTATTGGATCAAGGGGAATCTGTGTGGTTTGGTGATCTATCGATGGAGCAGTGACCTGTACTCTTGACCTGTGGAATGTGACCTGTTTTTTAGAGCCGGCAAATTGAAGATGGGGAAAGCGAAATAACCAAGTAAAAAAAAAAAGCAGAAAGACAAATAAACACCATGCAAATTGTATGATGTATGGTACATCTTGACAAAGGAATCATTTAATAGAGGTGAAAACAATAGAAAAAAACCTCTTTAGGACATCACAAAGTATTTAAAGGTGACTGGATCCACTTAATAAAATGAACACTAATATAATACAGGTAAGTTTGATATAGTAATTTAAAAGGAACACGATTTCTGGTAAATGATTGCTTAAAAGAGCTTGAATACTTACTGGTAATACAGGTTTCACTATACCTCACTGAAAAAATCATGGTCTTTTAGGGCCGTCATTAAGAGCCGGGGGCCGGGGATTTCCCCCACTTATTACATGGCCCCCGGCTACTTTCATAGGTAAATAGAAGAAAAATAGAACCAAAAGAAATCCTGAGCTGTTTGATTCCCCACCTACTTGTTGTATTTACCCGGCAACTTGAAATCTTAGTGACATCCCTCTCTTTTTTTTCAGATGTTGCCTTTGAAGTTGGTCATGGTACAGCTGCTCCTTATCTTGTGCTGCAAGTTCATTACGGAAAAGTTGATAAGTTTAAGGGTGAGTTAGTGGTATATGATGCATGCCTCAGAAGTTGTATTTACTACAGGTACATGTCTTTTTGGGATAAAATACTTAAGGCTGGTTATTGAAATAGAATATTACATTCACTTTTAGAATAGCATGCATTCTAAGCTCTTTTTAATTTTACCAATTTTTATTGATTGCAGCTGATCCCTATCTGAAAGATTACTCCGGTGTGGATCTGGAAACAACAACTGTGGCGTAAGTACAAACTGTACTGCATTTTACTGCTATTAAACTAGTAATAATCATTGCTTATGGATCATCTCATCTACAAGCATGACATCTGCATGAAAATGAGACTAAAGGAAACGAAAATGTGTCCAAAGAAGTCCAGTTTCCTGCAGCCAAGATGTTCCAGATAAAATTAATTGTACCACAGGAACACCAGATTAGGTTGCATTCTGACAAACGTGACAAAAGAAATTGAATAATATTCCATAAACGATATTACATTTAGCAATAATAACATTCACCATTTACTAAATGTCCTTAAAAATAATAACCATGATAGATTATTGTTTTTACAACAAACAGTGCTTCATTTATCACCAAAAATAATATCGTCTTCTGTAACAAAACAGCTGAGCTACCTACCTTCTAAATTTGGTCAGCGTAGCTGGTTTTTCCTCTCTTTACTGCTGCCAGTTTATATGAATGTGATGGTGTCCAACAAGAAAGCTCTTGCTACTTTGGACACTGTACACAAATGAACTTAATGTCTTTTAGTAAATTATTATTTACTACCTACATACACTTGTGTAAATATCTTATATAGTGTGAAATAAAGAATTGAATTGAATTGAATTATGAAGAATTAGCCAGGGGATTATTAAGGCAATCAGAAACATTTAAAGATTTTGAATGAATAGTGATCAGCTTCTTTATAAGCTTTCTCATAGGAACTAGTCCGAATAAAAGTGACGTGAACCTCAACTAATACTCTTTATAAATAACAACAATAATTATTCACTGTTCAAAGTGTATAGGTGTTTAGTGGTGGATATTTACTGAGCTGCGAAGGTCATGATTTTAATACTAAGGTTTTTCAAAGACTATTAAATTCATTAGAGCCATTTTCAGGCAAGAAACCTCAACTGCACTACAGCGGGAGCCACAGGAGCAAATTTCAAGACAAGTGCTTGTTTGTTTACCTTTTATTGGCGGAAATATTTTTTTGCTGACAACATTTTTGTTTCCAAAGTGCAAAATCACCAGGGAGTTAAGTGTCATTCGACTGGAAGTTGGCCTGAGAATCAAAAGTTTTAGGCGCCTGTTTGGGCTCCTTGTTTAAAATCTTGGTCGCTCGTGGGCAAATTGTAGACACCTCTGGCGCCCAGGCGCCCATTAGACAACAGCCTTGTTACAGATTATTATTAACAAATATGAAATGATAATTAATTTATTTAGTTACTGTTAAATTTCTTCAGTCAGCTAACAGATAACATGAGTTTAAGTAAGAAATCTTGATTAAGTGAACATATAAGAACTGCAGTTACAAATACAGTTGTAGCAAATGTCAGCAATCAGATGTTTTTTAGTATTTGCTTTTGAGTGAGTGATCAGTTGAACAAACGTGATAATTTAAAAATCTTGAATTCCCAGCTGGGTTGACCTTTATCCTCCTAAACACTGGGGGTTGGGGAAGTGTGCCCTATTCACTAAGCTACTGAAGAGGTTCTCGAAGAGCAAGGTCATTAATAATATAATTATGTTATCTTTTATGAAATTAAGATAATTTGGTAAAAGATGAAAGCATTTTCCCTTTGGTAAACATTTAATCATTCTCATAACCTTTGCGTCAACTCTTGATTGTGTTGTGATATTGTTAGAAGAAAACTGATGTTGGTCACGCTTGGGACTCAATATTACCTGTACATCTTCCTTATTCACTAACAAGCTTAAAAATTGCATCTTCTTTCTCTTTCAATTTTCATATCAGTTCTTTTAATAAATGTGATTTTGATGATCTTTTTCTATGATCAGAAAAGGATTTTGTCTCAGTGAAAACTAAGTCTACTTAACCACCAGCATTTCATAACTAATGGCTCTATGTTTACCGTAATAATAATAACAATCTTTTAATAGGATGCTCCATCACAAGAGTGGTTTACATAGAGGTCCTAATTACGAGATGTATATTATATAATACAATTAAAATATAAAAAAGTTAAGCTAAAATCGATATATATGATACAAAACCGTAAATCCTGTATTAAGCCACCTCTCTCAAATAAGCCCCCCCTTTTCAGGGGAAGAAAGTTAATAAGCCCTCCGGCCTCCCCTGCCCCTTATTATTCACTAATAGATGATAAACTTTATTAATCAATCATGACTGTAAAACTTTGTGAGGACTGATCCAGGATGGTTTATTCACCAACTGGAAGTTTGGATCTGCATGACCTTCAACTTCTTGTACTCAAGCTTTCTACTTTGTATTGCAGTTCTTTATGGAGAACCGTTACCATCGTCTTTGCTAAATTGAATAAGCCCCCTCATCTCAATTAACTCACCCCCTCAAATGTGTTTGTAGTAAATAAGCCCCCCTCCCCCCCCTGGGGGGGGAGGGGCTTAATAAAAAATTCACAGTATTGTATAACAATAATTATTTGTGGCAAAGTTGTAAATATGTTGAGTGTCAGGTGGAATTAAATCTTCTGTTAGGCCGAGGTATGTTGCAGGCATCAAAGGATTGGCTGATGGATGGTCCCTTATTCCACCAAAAAAAGAAGGTTAAAACTTTTGGTGATTATTTAAAATTAAATTAAAAAATTCTTATACATTGTATAAGTGTACAACAAACACTTTAAGCCTTAAGTTTCATTTAAAACAAGCGTTAAGTTTTTGTCTAAACAAAATCAAAGCCAATAAATAAACAAAGTAATTGTACACCCTAAAGTAATGTTATATTCCATATCAGACACAGGCCTGCCAGGTGTATAACTTGTCTTATGTTCTTAGATTGTCAACAGATTAATTTTGAAAAGTAGTTTCATGCCATGAAACGGTTATTTTTAAATGACTGGTACAGGTTAATGTCTAATAACATAGTCTCATCTGTTCTAAAAACTAAAGAATATTTGCAGAGTGCAGGGATGCAAATAATTTCTTTGAAGTTTAGAAACAATATACAGTGTCTTACGTCTGACCATGCCAGGTCACTGTTTGAATTTGACATTGAACCAGGAAAGGTGTCAGACACTGGTTAAGTTGACTTAACAATTATCACTATGTCAATTTTAAGCTTTAAAATGATTTCTTTAGTATCTAGAAGTGAAGTGTAAAATTACATTATTAAGATGTCATTAAAAAACAAAATAAATGCAATGTTTTGTAATACTCAGTTAAAAAAGCATTGTAGCACGGCATAAAAACTTAACATCACACAGCAGTACTGTACTTTCTAGTGGCACTTTTTTAGAATGCTAAAAGTGGTGATTGTATCTTATGAGGGCTCCATGCATTATACCAATTGAGGAAAACATATTCCATCAAAGAAGGACTAAATTTGGATATTGCTGTGTAATTATCTTGTTGGCCATTGGACTTAATTGGAGGACTTTGGTCTTTTTCTAGTCCTAGTAGCCTACCAGATAAACACAAGAATGTACATGTATATTAGTGTCCAAATGTGTTATCTTCTTAATGATAATGAGAAAATAAAGATCCCCTTTTCACAGATCCAATAAACTCTAAGGTGGTAGCTATACTTTTGGGAGTGCCTTAGATAAATTCCCAATTGACTTCTGATTAAATGTCTTGAAGATTTAAAGGGAGAATTTGATATTTGATCTGAAGTCCAGGTCATCATTACATGCACCCTAATGTTCACAAAGGCCATTTCCTGAAGAGCTACTGTGACTAAGTTCCAAAATCTAATTGTCAAAATTCAATAACTTAAACTTGAAGAATTTACCAACTTCCAGAACACTTGTGGAGAATACCCAAGTTTCCCATGGACTGGAAATTAAAAAATAATGTGAAAAATCTATCTACAGCCTTAAAATACTTCAGTTCATATTGTTAATATTGCCACTTACATGCCTAGAAAACTTAAGTTTAGCGAATAACATACTCGCAAATGTCAAACAATCATGTCTCCCAAGCCTTATATCAAAGTGAAATGTTACCAACAGCAAAAATGAACTTTTAAAAACTGTTAGGCTAACAACTTTTCCAAAACAACAATTGCATTCTATTTCAATCTTCTCCATGTTTGTCCACCCGTGCCTTCTCTTGCATTATGCTGTGTTATTTATACCCTCATTCATTGTTTTGTGCGGTTATTTATGTTTTGCTCAATTTGGTGGAGTGTTACCACTGTTTGAATTTTGATGAATTTCATGATACAGCTCCTTTAACTCTCTTTGTTTGCTATACAGTAAACACCCACATATAAGAACACATGATTTCAGGGTTCAGGCTGATCTAGTTCTTATTTATTGGGTGCTTAATAAGAAATCAGTAAGATGTTCTTAATAATTATGTTCTTCAACTTTGTTTCAGAAATTAACTACACATAACATGTTACTATAGGTTTAGTTAGCATATTTTATTATACTTAAATATGTAAGTAAGTAAACAAAAATCCTAAAGACACCCAGGCAACTGTTATAGTTTTGTAATTGTCTAGCAGTAACGGTAGTTAGATTCATTCATTCATTCAAGCAAATTTTGCTTTCTTTCTCTGTCACCCTCTTGGTTATTATATAAGAACACGTTAAAATTATTTATCAGGCTGAACTGGTTCTTATACTTATGGTGATATAAAATGGGCATAATTTCATCCTGACGTTCTTAATCCATTAATTTTGTTCTTTTTTGCGGGTGTTTGCTATATTGCATGTTATGCATGTTTCTCTTTGTGTTTCTGTCTTAGTCCTCGCCATTTGGCAGCAATTCATCTCTCAGCTTCTGGAGGCTATATTGAAGCAAAAAGAGCAGGTTATTGATTTTTTAAAGAATGCATGCTACTTTACTCTCAGAAATAGCTGGTGGCTATTTGCTATCAGTTTACATGTAGAGACACATTGTATACACATTGTATACATTTTAACAAAGAATATTTGAACAGAGTCTACATGTACATGTAAAAGATGGTTAAACGGAGCATAAAAATAAAATGCAGCTGAACAGAGCCTGAAGTTAGACTGGAGTTAAACATCAAACAAGACAGTTGACCAAATGTGAGCATTATACAAGACTATTAGACAGATGTGCAGTTAAAACATTATACATTACAGTTGGACAGAGCTTAAAAATTGTACAAGATAGTTGGACAGAGCCTGAGCAATATACAGGGCAGTTGAACAGACTTCAAACATGATCCAAGACGGAAGATGATGATTTTAAGACAGAACTGAAACATTCTAAAAGACAGTTTAGATACACAACAGTTGGTGGGCAGAGCTTAAACCTATAGCTACCAGACAGTTTGGATAGCACCCATAAACATCAGTCATATGTGACAGCTGGATAGAGCCTATAAACATTGTACAGGGCAGTTGGAAAGAGCTTATACATTATACAATACAATTGGACAGAGCTTAACATATTTTCAAGTTGAAGTGAGCCAGAAGGGACAACTGCACCTGGATAATTATGTGTACTATCAATACACCCTTTCAAGCTGATCCACATTAACAGACTTTTAACATGCAGCAAGCAAATCAGCTTATTATAATAATTGCTTTGTGGGTTAAGCTTGTTTATTGTTTATCTTTGTAACATACAAGAAGGGCATAAAATTAAACTTAAAGAATAAGGCTCTATGTACCAACACAGGGCAAGTTATACTCTGGTCTGGCTCATTTCTTTTACCCTCTTTCATATCTCTGATTTAAATAATGTCACATGTTTGAAAAACATGTTTGTAGCCTGCACCACAGGCAAAACGAAACTCTGGTTAATCCGTCTACAAAACAGCTCCAAAATCCTTGTCCCACCTGTGTACCAGGATTTGAGTATGTGCCGTGATTGGTCTGTTGAAAAAGATATTGACGATTTGCCAATCAGATTAAAAGGAAATGCAAAACACACTTCCCGTAACTTCATTGAGTCCATTGAGGGCCCAGAACAATGATCTTAGCACTACTTCACAGACCTTACTAACCAGGGTTAAATTATGTCTGCGACTCACGCTACATGTTTGTTGAAAGCCATTAAAATGTAACTAGTTCCCAGTTTGTGTTGGTATGTTAATAATTAACACTATTTATTACATGTCTTTGTTAATAGCATGGCATTTAGATGTAGGATGTAATTATGGTGGAAGTGCAGTGATGCACCCATTTGCGTTCAGAGTTCATGCACACAAATTAGGTATGTTGAAATAAGATACCTGCTTATTAAATTTAACAAAATACTTACATTCTCATTGCAGTGTACCAAAAATTAAGCTTTGTTGTTATCTTTTAAAGTCACTTTACATTTTAATGAGACAGCTGCATTGAGGCATGTATGCAGTTGTTAAAGAGGTACTGGACACCGATTCATTTACTACCAACCCGTGCTCCAGCCAACTCTTTCATCTCTCACAATTTACACATTACTGTATTTCATGAGGCAATTTTTTAAAATTTTATTTCATAATTGTAGTCTTTACAAAAACAGGTACTTACAGTGCTTACAGACAGTAAACAGATTACAGAAAGACAATACTTTGAACGGTGCTTAAAAACATTAGAATCATGCCAACTGTTATGCAGTGCTCATTGCTTGATACATGTACGCGAAAAAAAAAAGATGAAACTCTGAAAAGATGACAGAAAAGTTCTCATGGTAATTGAGAATTCTTTCTATGTTTTGTACAAGTATGACAACAATAAACAATTAATTTAATATTAACCGGGTCATCAAAACTTTTTTTCAGACTAGTACATGCTAGGTACAGCTTGCCCATTGGGAAAGTGTTTTTTGCACCCTGATGGAAAGGTGTCTAACCCCCCCTAATTTCCCTTTCTATCCCCCCCCTGCCACAACAACATCAATATTTGGGACAGCATGATAATAAACCTCTCTAATAATAAATTATCACCTTATTGTTTATTTTAGGGACGGTTATATCAGGCTACAAAGTGCGTGATGGAGTTTGGACGCTGATTGGCAAAGGAGATCCACAACGACCCCAGGTAAACAGTACTACAGTACATACAACATTTGAAAATAATTATACTGCTAAATTGTTGATGAATTTATTTGTAGATAACGTTTTCAGCTATTATTTTTTATGATATTTGCAGGCATTTTACCCAGTGAAGTCTGAAAAAGATCTGAGCATCCAAATGGGTGATACAATAGTAAGACACATTTTCTTGTATTTTAATTGTTCCAAATGAATATAAACCCAGTATGGTCAGCTCCCACCTTGTGGTCAACTATGTTTTAAGGACACCCTGCTAATTTGGCAACAGCTAAGTCCCCAGGAAATATAAGTGTTGACTGAAAAAATATCTTCCATTAGTAAAATCCAGCTAGTGGTTTATTATCAATACTGCATTCTGATTGGTTGCGCTACTAGGCTATATGTTATATCCCACTAGCAGCAAAAAGCGCAGGCTTTAAAAACCAAAACAAAGGCGGCTGAATCATGTTTTGCCAGCTAAAGTTGTTTTGTCTCGATATTTTTGACCAACTACCTTATTATAGGAAATTAACACTCCACGAAATTAACGCGAATCGTTAAAATTCGCGTTAATTTTGTTGAGCGTTGATTTCCGCGACGTTGATTAAGTGCAGCGTTCATTTCGCGCGCTCTTAATTTCCAGTATGTTAACCCCAATTTTGGAACCTGTCCAGACATTCTTGACACCTAAAAAACATTAACTACAAGCTTTCTTTCTTTCCATTTACCCTTTATTTTGCATCTTTCACAAAAGCTAAGGCGAAGGTTTACAATATTTCGAGTTTATGTTCATCGTTGTCACTGTCAGAAGTGATCTTCTCCTTTGATTTCGCGTAATTAAGCATGTTAATTTCCTTTATTATGAAATTCTACCTTCTCCTTCGTGTTAATTTTCTTTATTCAAAAGTCGTTTCCCACTAAATTCGCGTTAATTTAAGTCGCGTTAATTTCCAATACCTTAATTTCATGGAGCATCAATTTCCTATAATAAGGTAGTTGAATTTTACTAAAACAATTATTCCTCTTGCCCTCATGGCCTCTAAGTCAATAGCCCATTCGGGCTCAAGGAATAATTGTTAAATTACTCTCAGTACACTCTTTTCAGCCCTGCTACCATTACAAAATTTGTTATTGTTCAAACAGTTGTTATAATAATATTATTACGGTCTTATTATTATAGAGAACTGAAAGAGCCACATTGTTTGCTATTACCAGGTTCAAGGCACAACAAAATTTTTACTCAAAATGTTGTTCCTCTATGGTAATCAAAGCTTAGAGAACATTTCTTTTTGCACATTTGCAAAATTATACAAGTGTAAGTAGGTGGAGTATGATCATTCGGGTGATCGTAGAGTGTGGCTGACGATCACCCAGACAATCACGTTCGGCCTACTTATGAAATGACACCTGGGTTCAAACCTTTCACAGTTATACATAAGCCGTGTGTTAGTGAGTGAGGTGAAAGCAAAACAGGTGGGCAAGGCTACATGCTTGTGTTTTTAATGGTAATATTTGTACAGCCAATGGGCAGTCAAAGAATTTTCTATGACCTTTACAAAACTCTAGGAATACTTTGTTGTTTTCTGATCAATAATTAATACATGTTGAGCTCGGAAGAAATATCTTTGAACTGTAGTTTATGAAACATTTTTATGATTACAGGCTGCACGATGCACCTACAATTCAACACAGAAGAAGGATATCACATATATTGGGTATGTTTTTAGTACTATATGAAGAACGATTCAGTGAAACTGACTGATTATAAAATAAAAGAAAGGTATTGTGATACAGCTGTGCACACTTCTTTAATTTGTTTTGTAAAATCTATTTTAGGCTCAGATTGAGCAAATGCCTAAAACAATGGTTAAAAGTAAAAGCAAACCTTTCCTCTAAAAATATGAAGCTGCACAAAGGCGAAAATACACATGTCCTATCCTTGCCTTTGGGGATGGGAGGTACAGGAGTAAGGGAAAGTTAGAGTGCAGGTCAAAACAATATAATGTATCACGAGTCTTGTCACTATCAAAATAATAATTATTGTTTTGCATGAAGGTGGAAGAGAAACTATATCTGTACTCATAACCTGAAGAATGTGACCTGTAAACTTTTAGCATGCTTATGTTGTAAAAAACTTCAGGTTAAAATGCTTTCATCTCTTTTGTCTTCTAACCTTAATTATTCATGACTTTTAATAATCATGAATGATAATCATAATTGTGAATTATTTATGAATATGAAGCAGGACATGAATAGAGATCTTTGACTTGTGGGCTATATGCCATTGGGTGTGGAAAGGACTGATGATAATGGTGATGATGATGATGACTTGCACAGATACCTCTAACAGTGATCTCACAAAGGACGCCCACATGTAATAAGTTAGGATTCTTGGAAACTGACCACCTACCCCTTCCCTAAATCAGCATTTTGCCCTAAGCGAGAAGAAAGTGTTAATGTTGACTTAGGGGAGGGGTACAGTGTAGGTGGTCATTTCCCAGAAACCTTAATTGATCCAGTGCAATTTAGGCAACAATAATTATTGTCAAGAACACTTCTATTTTTGTGAGGATTACGTTAACTACAGCCATTTGCTCATCCTTCATACAATCTACATGTACCATGCAGAAGCCTGTTTATATCGATGGCCAATAGATTTTATTTTCTTTCAGAGCAACAATGGCAGATGAAATGTGTAATTTCTACATGATGTATTGGTATGATCCCAAAGAGAATGACATGGAAGGGAGCCCTGAGGAACGGTGTGGTTATGTCAATGAGAGGGGGCTTCAATTCCCAATTGACTCTGATGTTCGCCTTCCAGGAAGTGGGGAAAAAATGGAGATGAAGCGAGACTCTGTAGAAGGTAGGCACTCAGAAATGCACTGATGACTTTTAGACATCGGTCTTTCCTCTTCTTTTCTTAAGATTCTGTTTTTCCTTGCTGTCGCTTTCATTTGAGACTGTTCAATCTTATGATCTGATAAACTGCTGAATGTATAGCATCTCAAACGTTCCAGAAATGTGATGCAAAATTGTGCGCAGTGTTGAATGCCATTGATGAATTCTGTTTGTGTTTCTTTTTCTTCCCCAAAAAACTATTGTGTTACAAAATGAGGCAGAAATTCTATTTACTAAATTGTACAACATGGCCATGCAATCTCTCTCTGTCACAAAATCTGAGTAAACAAAATAATTTTTTGGTGTGAGTTACTTCCTTTTGTTCTTCCTTTTAAGTTTGCTGAAAATTGACAGACTCTATTAGAATATTTATGTATGAGACAAAAAGACATTTCGGTGGTGAGGAACAAGATATGGATGTATACTGTATTTGAGAATGTCTGCACATTCACAATGCTTCAATGTGGAGCTAAGGAAAAAATTAGCAACTTCACTGCGCACATTGATGCATCGTTCATCCTGTCTATTGCACCAGTCTGACTTTAAAATTTTCTTGGTCTTTGATCGCAGGCTCAGATGAAAGTGACCGGCAGTGAAAGGCGCGCGCGGCTGAAGGACTGACTACGGAATTAATGATAATTTAGTAATTTAGTACCTAAGACTCTTAAATTAAAAATATACATTTATATTTTTTTGAAGAAGTCATTTTAAGGAGTAATGTTATTTTCACCCTAATCTTTGAAATTGTCTTTTATGATGATTTTGTAAAGGATTGGACACTGAAGAAAGTGTTTTGGTCACTAATTTGCACTGCAAATTTAATGTGTATGCTTTCTTTTTGAGAGCATTTTGTTCTCGGTTACCTTGTGTTACTGACTTTGCACAGAAGCTAAAATGGGAATCCAATATAAATTATTTTCCAAAAGTAAAGATGTTATTTAAACTTATTAAAGCTTAAATGTTGAAATTTGTCAGTGGAAACTGTTTGCACTTTTTAGGAATAAATAAAATTTCTTTGCATTGAATCCTAGTCAACATGTTTTTATTAGAGCACTGCACAAAACAATTAGCTACACTTTCTCCCAATTAACCGCGTTTACGGTGGAAGAATTTTAATTGCTTTCCGGAGTAGAAATATCGTGCACTTTGTGAACATTTAAGAGAAGGTCAATGGCGACAAATGCTTGCCATTTTTCAGAGTATATTTTGAGAAAATAATTTTCGACTAACCTGAAGGCGAATGTACACCAGAGATAAACTTTGTCCGATGTCATAATAATACTGTCACAGGCCAGAGATTTTTGATAGCTTACAAAATGCAACTGAATTGTAAGCACGTCTTCTCTCGTTCCCAGAGACTGCGATCCTCTTGGTCAGCACCAAATATCACAAACGTCCGTTGCCCGTTCCGCTGGACAAGGGTAACGAAGGCTCTGAGGACGAGCTTGAGACTCAGTTCTTGTAAATCACCCTCATTCCTAGTCTTCCTCGGCGAGTTCGGATGTGACGTCACCTTAATACGTCAGCCATAAACCTTGACGGGTCGCGCTCGATATTCCAAGCTTCGTTCGCCCACTCGCATAACGCGAATTGGCCTTGGGACAAAGCTGGAAGATTATAAATGAGATGCTTCTTCCGTAATGTGACACAGGGTCGCTCCGGTGGCAGCGAATTATCCTAGACTAAGAGTTGTCCCTCATTAGACTTTCCTCAGGGTTAAAAAAGCGAGCTAAATACGCGAGCGCGCGTGGGCTTGCGTGAATCAGCTATCCCTAAAGAAAATAGGGGGAATCACTTGTAGTTTAGGATCATTCCGTCCTGTCCCAACACTCCTGCCAACACTAGGCCATTCTGCTTAATTTCCTGTACTTAAAGAGATCAATTCTTTGCTCTCCCTTCTCTAAAACCATAGTCCACTAATAAATGCTGCACTATGGCTAGTCATACCTCTTCTGTACCTATGTATCAACGTTAGTTCTTGAGTGAAGGCGATTGCAAGTATTTTTCGTGTCTAAGGGGAATAGGCATGGTGACTAGTGATTGGGTTGAAGGGGTTGTGAAGAAATTGTAAATGCAAATTGGCCATTTTGCGTTTCCGCGAACGACTGGTCATGGGTCTGTGTGGTGGCGAATTGGATCATGGGACTGATTTTGAGGGACGAATTTGGACCCATTTTCCAGCGCAACTTAGTAACAGTAACAATAGTAACAATAGTGTGCCAAAAATAGTCCCATTGTGCAGTTCTGCTCAACACCTAGCAGTGCACTCAGTGCACGAGCAACCTCAAAATATCCAAGGATTAGTGAAGTCGAAGGTGAGTTGTTGTGCTGGGTTGTTATTTTGGTCCCTTTAGTCTTTGCATCCTTTCTGGACTAATACTCTGGCTAATGTTTTTCCTTCTTATCTACAAAACTGTCAAACGTGCCTTTGCGATTGGCATAGTAGACCTCGTACGTATTCTCCGTAGCCCAAAGCGTAACGGAACTAATACTGCGACAACACTGACAACGATAATCTTGTACCGTTCCTCCGTTCTGCACCGAATCAGTATCGCTAACGATTTTTAATCCGCCCCTCATCTCAAAATTAGCCTTAAAAAGGCATAAAAGCTAATCGGGGGTGGGGAGGGGGGAAGTGACACCGTCGTAAAAGGGGAGGCTCAGGCTCCCCTGCTACCCCTCTCTTCTCACACCTGCGACGTAAGCTAGTGACAATGTAAATGCCTAGGCTCACCATAAGTGCAAAATGTACTTATAAATTTATTGCTTACATAATGCTACCAGAATAAGCCAGCGTTTTTGCCCCCCACCCCCGTCACCAAGTGTGTCTGCATTTTTCAAAGTCGTCTATGTGCTATTTTAGAATGTGCACCATCCTGCGATGATGAAGAGTCCGTATTCCTTGATGAAGACACAGCGGACTGGCCTGGAAATAATCCAGCAAATGTGAAGCTTGGTCAGGTTACCGCAGTTGACACTGATGCGGACGGGAATGTTGTTTTATTTCATCGAGGATCCAGGAGATGGCAGGCCGAGTGAGTAGAAAAACTAGTCGCTATTGAATGACCTTTTCACTCCCGGGATTTATATATATAATATACACATTTAGCCAAAGCCAAAAGCGAAGCTCTGGAAGGATGCTTTGGGAAATGTCCTCCTCAATTAATTATACTTCGGCCGTAAGCAGAGAGCAAACTGAATTCTACCTTTAAAAAATTGACCTGCACCCACGATCAACTGACAACTGGTCAGTGGATAACTTTAAAAATTGCGTCACTTCCATGAGTTGTATACCTGAGCCCGCGATTCAGTCGTTAACAATAATAGCAGAATTAAATATACTAAAACATACGATGTAAATTGAAGATCTAAATAAAATTAAAAAGACATCTATTGATAAAACATCGCTTGAACCTTTCAGTCCCAACAAGCGGCAAAACGTTATCGTGGCCCCTGTCTCGTAGTTTCCGCCTACGCTTCATGGGAGAAGATCATTTAAATAATACCACGCGAAAGTACTGATTTATTCCAAAGAGTTTTCATTTGAACAGTTACATCACAAAATTCAGCTGGTCAAAAGTCAGGCCTTTATTTTCGGCCTTTTTACTGAAACACAAACAAATAAGTATCGTAAGACTAATACAACAACTAGTAAACAAACAAACGACCAAACAAAAAGTCAAACGAACACAAAAGGTTTGTCATAATGCTCTGAACGAAACCATAATGTACTAAAATGTCTGTGTGTGTGTGCTTGTTGTCAGTTCTTTTGATGATCGTGATGTATTCAACCATCAAGATCAGCCAATTCCCGAAGCCACTGTACTGAAGCTGGATTCAAAAACTGGAGAAGTTAAAAAAAGCTGGGGAGAGAATATGTAAGTATATCCCATATTGAATCAAAAAAGAAAGAAAGTAAAAGGTGGAAAATGTAACGAGAAATAACAGTACTGCATGACAGTGCAGTTTCAAGAAAATAAAAATCACGTGATGCTGTTTTTTTTTTTCGTACCCAGGTTCTTTATGCCTCACGGGCTTACCATCGATCATGGGGGTAACACGTGGTTAACAGATGTAGCCTTGCATCAGGTCTGTGTTTCTTTTTACTTGTTGGTTTTTGTAGGAGAAAGTGAAGTCCTGAAAGTTGCATATTAGTTTGCTTGGTCCTAATTTTTTTCCGTTTCCCTCTGTTGTTAGTCAACAATTAGAAAGCGAACTAGAGATTTCGAATGGTACATAATTGACGAGGGGACAGGCCCGCCCTTCGCTTTTAGTTACTATAGTCTCCGTGTGCCTCGCTGATATGTATAGCCGGTAAAGTGGAACCCACCGTTGGACGATAAATTGTTATTCGGGCGTAATAAGGAGGTGATAGTATAAATGGGGTGATCGTTAGGCGAGATTCCACTATAGCTCCACTGTCCAAAGATTTTGCAAACGGAAGTATTCGCACTGTAAGAAGACACTCTCTTGGATACAAGGAAACATTTTTCAATCTAGTAAAAACACCCATGCTTAGTGAACGTAAATTTTGTTTACAAAGTATTTCCCTGCATTATTCATTCTTCTGTTTACAAACACTGGTGCAAATGGGAATGTATATTAAATCATATCTTAACGTCTTAAAGGGAACCTCCACTTCAACAAAAAGATAACTTTAAATCACAGGAAATAACTGTTACAGTCAAGTCAATCTAAAATATTTTTAAAGAAAGCGTTTGTATCCGAAAGAAATAACTTTTAGATTCGCCTATTTTTGTTTTCAAATTTTGCGGGCTTCGCCATCTTGAATAATTGTGACGTGTAATGGTTGCCCTATTGTTATTAAACAAAAGCTCTTTGTGTCAGAACAATAGAGCAACCGTAACACGTCACAATTATTTAAGATGGCGGCGCCCGCGAAATTTGAAAGTGAAAATAAGCGATTTTAAAATTCACTTTTCCTGATATAAACACTTTTTTGAAGACAAATTTCGAACAAATTTGTTTATTAACATAACTTTATTCTATTTAAACTTATTCTGTAGTAAGAGTGGAGGTTCCCTTTAACTGCATTAGTCATAGAAAACTAGCTAGAGTTAGCCTTTCTGCGTGTTTAATCCAGACCTACAAATTTCACCATGACCAAGCCTTGTTTTGGAATTGTCTTACTAAATTACAACGATTGGTGAATTCCCTTTGTATTTTAAGTTGAGAGGAATAATCTCCTACAAAAAGAGGAAAATGCAAAGAATTTGTCCACAGACGGCGATTGGTGATCAAATCAACAAATGCATATGGACGACCGATATTTCATTTTAAATGAGGGAGATATTTCATTTGTTGATTACAGGTTTTCAAGTTCTCCCCTGGAGAAAGCAAACCTTCCCTAATTCTCGGAGTCAGGTTTGAACCAGGGAAAGACGCAGATCATTTTTGTAAACCTACGGATGTCGCTGTTGATTCCAAAGGAGTCTTCTATGTTTCTGACGGGTAAATTGTTATTTTTGTTCCTTTTTTGAAATTAGCTTTTTGAAAAGAAACGGACGAGATCGAGAGACATTTCCCTATTTCCCAATCTCGTCCCCGAGGTCTTTTTGTTTTCCAATATGGCGGCGGCAGTGAAAACGAGAAGACCCTGGGGATAAGGTTGCCTATTTCCTCTGTGGCCCGCGGAGAAGGACCTGCACGCAGGCTAGATCGAGATTCGGCAAGAATCCAAGTGTCTCTCTCGTTTAGATCTCTGTCTGCTTAAATTTTCCTAATAATTTATGGATCACTATTTTTTTTTCTTCCCTTCCATCTCGTTTTCCCCAGTTTTTACTTCTCCTCTTTCTTTCCTGTAGTTACTGTAATAGTCGGGTAATGAAGTTTTCACCAGACGGCAAAGAAAGCATACAAATGGGTAGGTTGACAGCTTTTTAAAATAGCGTTTAATGTTTGGATTGTCTTAACTTTGGACAGGGGTAGGGAGGGTGGGGGATGGCCATTGGTGCGCAGCAATGAAATTACTTTCTTAGGCCCGGCCCCTATCCCGAAGGTTGGTACTCTCTCCAAAGTCCCCATTTTCGAAAGTCTAGATTACTGGCTCTTTGGCCCTTATATGTACTGTATACTCTTATACTTGAAGTAATCGTGGAGGCAATATCCTGTTTGTAATTAAGACAGACCCGCACGACATTACATACCCTGTTTTGGACAGACTTGCGCAAAACTATATAGCCTGTTTAGGTCAGAGAGGTAAAAAACCATTCCCTGTCCAGCGGCACATTCTCTTATGGGCCGTATAACGGAATTGCCTCCCCCCCGCCCCCGGAGAGAACTGATCATCCCTGCCATATCACTGTATTAATCTATTAATATGTTATCAATGATGACACATTTTTCTGCGCTTTGTTGTTTTTTTTAAGCATCAAACGCCTTCCGGATTCCCCACAGTCTTTCTTTGGACGAGTCGAACGGACGGCTTTATATCGCTGATCGGGAGAACAGTCGAGTTCTGGTACTTGACGCCGGAAGTGGCAGTCTTTTGCGTGAAGTAAAAGACTTCGGAGAGCGAGTGTTCGCAGTGCATTATCACGCCAAACGTGGTATGTTAGAATTATATCAGAATCCCATTACCCGGAGCGTGTAGCTCCTTTACTATGCCTGTGTATCGTGTTTTCACGGTTTATTTTGAGACACGTTTTTTGGATTACTGCTTGCCAAAGTGTGCTGCTTGGTATGCGGCTAGTGTGAAGCGCGGGAAAATTCGCATCTGGTGCAAAACGCGCCAAAACGTTCAACTAATGTCAGGCGCGGGAAAGCTCGTTTACCATTTACCAAAAGACTCCGGAAAATATGCTTTGAAAGTAAATGAAACACGACTCTTTGGTCGTTCCAGCGGAAAATTTCCGAGAGCAACGGAACATCTGGAAAGGTAGTCCTGTTTTATCGGACGAATTGTTCCAAACGAAAATTCTTGTTCCATTTCTTCAAAGCCATACTGAGATTTTCTCAATAATAAGTGGTGCGCGCACGTGAACCAGCGTGGCGGGAAACCGTGATAGCCGTCGTCATCCTACTACGGTGAGACCAGTTTCAGGCCTTCGCCGGCCTTTTTCCGTAAAATTGAACTGATTTGTACAAATGGCAAACGCGCTTCCGGACGAAATTTACCAGTCCTGAATTCTGGTTATGCCCTTGTAAACGGTAAACGACCAAAATCTCTACCGATTTCGAAGTATAGAGAAGCGTTCGAAACGTTCATTTCCAGTCCTTTTATATTTTTTAGTATCGTTACCAAGCCAGTTGAAACTTTGTTCAATAAAATGTATACTGTGATGTGTTTAATTTCAAAATGCACAATTATTCGTTAGGTGGAGTGCTTCATGTGGTAAATGGCCCGCTGTCGTACTACTCTAGAGCCCAGGGCTTCACGTTCAGTCTGAAGAGTGACTCTGTGGTACAGAAATGGAGCCCAGCTTCGGTAAGAATTCATTAAACAGGTTATAATCACAGAGTAGCCCTGATGGATACAATGGGTACTATCTTGAGAAATTCGTGCCAATGAGGGTTTCGATTCTTTTTTCCTTGCGAGAATTCTGGTTATAAATTGATTTGTAACACCGACAAGGTACTTTTTCAAGTGAATCAATGGAAGGAAAGCAAAAAGGTACTATTTTTATCAGACCGTGCAGCCGGAAACAACTTAAAATCATTGTATTTGCACACATTGATAGCTGTAGCTGGTGGGTCCATTATATTCCTTTCAGTAACCTCTAACTTTATTGTTGCAGACATCTCTTTAGTTTTGTCCATATTTCGTGACAGTTTTCCTTGTAAACTGGTTCCAACTTCTTGTGAGACATTCTTACTTTTTCCTGATTTTGTGTCATTGATCAGCAAAAAGTAAGTGACCGCAACAATCCCCTTAGCACTAGTCATTTTTTTTAAATCTTAGAATTCAATTGCTAGTGTTAAAGTGTGGAAAACAGATTTGGTCTAGATCCTCCTTTAAAAAGTAAAAACGATTTTAAAGTACATTTTGGAATAAAATATGCTTTTTTTCTTTTTTTTAATTTAATCTTTTCACGACTATTTCTTTCTTCTTCAGGGTTTTTCAGAGCCTCACGATGTGACGTCAGATTCCCAAGGTGCTTCAGTGTTTGTCGCCGATATAGGAAGTAACACAGTCTGGAAGTTTAAGAGACGAGTTCAAAAGATAGTTTAAATGTGTTTATCATCTAAATTTATTTTGATTAATTTATTGCTAAAACAGATTCTTTTCATCAACTTATTCATATAAAAAGATAATTATAATGCACCCAACAGTTAAATGTTAATTATGCTTGTCAATGACCAAATGTGGTATTTAGAAATGAACAGTCCACTTTCCAATTAAAAATTACCGCTGAATACAAACTTTGACGTCACATTCATACAAGATTAGCCTCGACGTAAAGTAAAATATTCACAAATTCCGACAAGTAAGTGTTTGAAATTTGAAAATACACCATAGACAGAGTAATAAACAGGTCTTCTTCTCGTTGGAATTTGTGAATATTTTCACCTCAGATGGAGGCTAAGCTTGTAAAAAATGCGTCTTCTATTCTTTTATCCACGGCTTATAGCGAACTCGAAATTGGACTATTAAACTCGACGGTCCAATGTAACAATTCTCTATTTTCCAATTGCCCATAATACACTCTGTTTGCCCCCCAAATTCTGCATAAACCATTGTTTTTAAATGCTCCTGGGAGTATTGCATTTTCCCAAGAGCATTTTAAGACAATAAGTTATGCAAAATTTGGGGGGCAAACAGAGTGTATTATGGGCAATTGGAAAATAGTCAATGATGTAACAATGTAACAAAAATTTGTGACCTCACGTGAAATTCAAAACGTTGCTAACAGCGAGCCGTTGAAACGGCTGGACAAGCGGCGTTTAAAAAGGCTGCTGATAACCGCTAAAAGGCCTGAACAAATGAATTCCTTATTTTTATTTTATCGGGAAAATAGGTACAATTGTAATTCATTTTGTTCTAATATATGTTTCCAACTTTACTTATGTGTCGGAAAGAGGACCTTTTAAAAAAAACGAAACTAAGCACTTAATATGTTTTAAGTTAAATTTCAGTAATAATATATTTTTTTGTTTCGAACGTACATGCTTTCTTTCTCACAGAGACCGAAAGCAAAATATATTCCTGAATATAAAGGTATTAAATGTACAAGACTCCTAATAACGATCATGAATACGATGTGGTTGATAATCTAAGATTTAATACGTAATGTAACTTAACGTGACGCAACCAATTATTTTTGTTGGCATACCTTCCAAATCTGGACCTTAGATTTTTTTGAGACCTCGCACAACCGAAGGCAAGCACCCAAAGTATACGTAGCGTAGAGCGTTTTTAGAGAAACCGCGAACAAGGGCTGAATTTCCATTCATTCAAAGCTCAATCGATGTGTAATCCTTGTGTTATAATGGAATTTCAATGACGACCAAGCTGATTACGCATAAGTGGTTTAAAGGTGAAAGGTATTACTACAAAAATATTGGTTCGAGTCACTTTATTAAAACAGAGGGCCATACCATTGTATGGTTAATGAAAGTACTAGCTAGATCTGTGTACTTCTAATCTGCGATAAGCTTTTTCGGTTTTCTTCGCGGATAGCAAGCCTGACAGGACCTCTGCAAGGCACGGGCTAGCACTAATTCAGCTGATTTAGCAAATGAACTGGAACGTCAGTTGACAACGGCGCGCGGAAATCGAACAACTGGGTTGACCAATGGTGGCTGATTTTGTTCGTCAAAACGTTCTGTTCTGTTGCTAAATCAGCCTAATATACCAAAGGTGTATCAGTAAAACCCCGAAAAACGAACCCCTACACAGTCGAACTTCAGGATCAATTTAGGTTTCTGGGAAACTGCCCACCTTACCCCTCCCCTAAGCCAACATTTTGCCCTAAGTGAGAAGCAAGTGATAATGTTGACTTAAGGGAGGGGTGGGTGGTCAGTTTCCCAGAAATATTAGACGACCACCCAAAATGGGAGGAGTCAGTGATCGCTTACGATAATCGAACCCTCTCTAGAAGAGGTCCGGTCAAAATGGCTGGTTATTGGCCTTCTTTTGCTTTGTATTGTTCTTCCATTTGTATTGCCCTCAACTTCGTGTTGGTCCACGAAAAACGCACAAGTGCACTTGGCCAATATTCAGCCATCTTGACCTCACGCGTGGGGAAAAACTCATTTATACAATGACTAGTAATTAAGTTTCTTGATTACTACTTGTTGCAAATCTTTACATCTGCTTTAACTGTCACGTGCATGGCACCAAATACTTTCGTCAATGATAAATAAACTAACAAGTATGCAGAAAACATTGACATTGGAGTCTGCTTAATTATTCCCATGGCGTTTGTATAAAGTTTTAATGAAACCTGGTTGTGATTTAGTTTAAGTTTAGTTACAGTCGAACCTCTAATAACGGCCACTTTTTTTGGCGGACAGGTCATACATTGACTCTTGTTTAAACCTCTCTACAACGGCCATTTTCTTGTGTCCTCGAGGTGGCCGTTCTGGAGAGGTTTGACTGTGTACTAAAACCTTAAAACTCACGTTAAGATCTGCGGTAGAATCTTTGCCATTACGACATATTTTGAGGAACAAAATCTGTTCCACGAATCAAACCCCCGCCCCTTCCCAATGTTGGTTGTTACCTCATGTAACTTGACCAGCGGTGCAGCACTAGCGGAGGAAGAAAGGTTTTCCAAACGGTCGGGGACACTGAGCGACTCTGTTGTACCCATGCAGCGGCGTTCTTACAGAGAAGTTTATTTTTAGATCGATTTTCCCGCGAATTTTGTCTATCATAAAAGTCTTACAGATCAGGCAGCAAAAATTGTAGACTAGAAAATACTATTTATGATGTTTTAGTAGCATCTACTATATATTGTACTATACATGTACTAACTATGGATACGCACACATACGAGAAGGTGCTTCCATTTTCGTGGTGAAAACAAACTGATCTGTGTAAACGCATGGGTTAAAAATGGGAGTTGTGGACATCTGGGGTAACTACCATTTTCATGGAAAGCCGAAAATCCCGGATGGAAAATCAAATGGTATGCCCTGTAATAAAGAAGATCCGCCACAAAGGCTTATTCATGGCCGTCTAACCCTCACAACACAACACAACACTCTTTGCGCGCACTCTCACTTTAAACCAACCCGGATGCAAGTCCCAGATGTAAGTAATGGTAAATCGCTATACACTACACGCCCCATTCCGTTGGGGAAGCTTCAGGAAATATGGGCTGTGATTTCAGGAGATGAAATCGCAATTTTTTTGGCTCTTTTGAGTATATATTTGGACATACTTTGTGGCGGGACGTTCTCCCTGCGTCTAAAGTTTTATAGGTTTATTTTTATGCACAAGATTTCCATTCCGGGTGGTTTTTGAAAATGGTAAGCAACCCTGGTTTTCCGCATTTGTACACCATTGTGTTGGAAAATAGGAAGGTTTTTTTCAAGTTTACCCAAGTGCCTTTACTAATTTGGACTCTCTGAGTTTTAACTGATCTTTACTGATTTGAAAAATGTCAATACGAATAGGGTTTCAATACTTTATTTCAATTAAGAAGTTATTTTTCTAAAAAATTCTTTACATATACACGCCTAAAACGGCGTGTGTGGTTAAGAAAATGGTTGATTATTATTTCTGGCGGAAGTCACCGTTCGTCATTCAATTGTGAAATGAACACAAGGGAAAAATGAAAGCAAAGAATAAGTCCCTTATATTCGCAGATTTTTTAACCAGCAGTCTCCTACGCAAACATTATTTCATTCATGTATCAGGTGTCGACGAAATCTTTTAATTTCAACGGCTTCGAAAGGAGACTGTTTTAAATCATGAAAATAGCCTATTGCCTATGTTAAAGTATGACCTTCAGCTTAAGGTAGCAAATGTTTATAACTTTTAAGCTTATTCATGGAATGACATGGAAAAGTAGGCTTACGCAGACTCTTGGTTATGTTGCTTAGCAACCTAACTATTCCTTCAATGCGCACAATACAAACTGGATCACCAAGTGAGACCATGTCAAATTATTCTACACAACGGTTTTAAAATGGTTGCGCAAATTTACTGGAAATCACGAGAACGTTTTTAAGTAAAAACGCAGGACTGGTTATGAACATTGTTTTGGAACACCAGTATGGCGAACCAGGTAACGTCATGTGAAAACGCTCTATACCGGAGCATATTTTTAGTTTATCTATAATACTACACAACTAAAATCTGGCGAGTAAGTACACACCAGTAGTCATTTATGAATACATGCTATTCTTGGTTTGCAACCACGTAACAAGGCGGCCATACTAGGGGTAAAACAATAGAATTTTTTCACTAAGAATTTACATGAAAATGGGGTTTAGTTCCCAGAGGAGAGAAATGCTTTGATTCTTAACCACCTACAAGGCCTCCGTGACGTTTCGTGCAAACCAGCAATAGTCACTTAAAATATATGAGATCGTAACTAGATGACTAGATTTAACCCCTACAGTCCCAGAGTCGAAATATGGAAGAGTCTTGGTCAAACTTTGGAGTCTGTGGTCCCAGTCCTTGGGTTTGAACATTCAATCGGAACCTATCCAAGAGCACTAAAACGAGAGATTGTTTAACCCTTCACTCCTAGATAATGTAATGCGAGATAATTCTTCAGGCTAATTTTTAAATCTGTGAATGAAATCCTCTCGTGTTTCCATTCAAATGAAACCTCTTTGGTGGGACTTTTGTACTGTACAATTTACTTTGTAGGATTTTACAAAAGGAAATGTGAATTTTCTTGCGATTTCTTTTCCTTGGCCTCTATTAGGAATGAAAGGGTTTATAAGCTAAACAAGATGCTGAGACTTTTGACCCTGTGGAGCAAATTCTGTGGTGTGGCAATTCAATTAAAACCTTTCGCTATATATTCATTTATGCAGGGGTTAATGTGCGCACTCGTGTGGAATTCGTTGATGTTTGCTTAGTTGGGATGCCTGTGTAAATGTTTTGCCGCATTTTTCACAGAGGAATGGCCTTTCACCCGTGTGAGTACGAATGTGATTGTTCAGCGTTGTCGCTCCAGCAAATGTGCGCGAGCAATAACCGCATTTAAATGGCTTATCGCTAGCGTGAGTGACAACATGCGTGCGTAGTTCGTTAGGGAAAGAAAACGACTCTGAACAATAATTGCACTTGTATGGCCTTCTTGGAATGTGCGGACACACGTGGACCTGGAGCATGTTTTTCTGCGCAAATGACTGGTTACACTGACCGCATTTCATCAAGCTCATCTCGCTGCTTTCTGGCGACAGCTTGAATCTTTTATTGTCGTCGCAATCTTCAACCAGAATGCGCTCTTCCTTTAAAGCAATAACAGGATCCGAAATGTGCCGAGTTCTCTCAGCGCGGACTGAACTGTCGCCCGAGGGAGGCCTGATGTTCGAAACAACAGGACCAGGAATCTTCTGGTGCCATGAAATGTGATTGTTATTGGGTATCATGTCACGTGATACAGGTGACTTCCGGAACGTTTTCTTGGAAGGAGTGTGCGAGGTGACTGCTGGCTGAGTGGAGATGGGCGCGGAAAATTTTGGTGCTTCGTTTGATTTGTCTGTTGGTTGAATTTGGCCTTGAGCTGCTAGTACCTCTTGCAGGAGTCTGGTACCTAGAAGATGGGGGAAAATGTTTTCGATATCACCACGAGAGGGTAAGATACGTCTTGGTTTAAAAATGAAATGTAAATGAAAAGTACGAAGTGTAATAAACTGGGCACAGATATGCCCGCCCAATGAGGATGGGTACGAACGGGGCTTACAGGTTCCATACGAAATGCGGCCCCTACTCACCCCCACTTCAACGAAGAATAGCCATAAGGGGTTGTCACTGTGAGATATTGTTATGCCCCTAGAGGCTATTTTACATCCCTCAAGGCTCAGATCAGTGCCTGATGTATATGAAACAATTAAACTGACTGATTCTTCATTCTAACACTGCGAATTCCTTTCTAGATATAACAAAAAAGGTCAAGGCAAGGGGTCCTTAATTTACATTGGCAGCTCGAAATGGCATCGTCTGAGGCCAACAGACCTGAGGCCAACGAATTTGTGCGGTGAGCTCGTTATACCCCCTGTTCCCATCAGCGCTCCGTATGAAAGATATCAGTTTAAAGACCCCAACACGGAAAGGAATAAAAGATGAGGTAAGAGAAGGCAAGGATTTGAGGTTACACCTGGGAATCGGACAGAGAACTTTTGCACAGAGAGCCGCACATTAACCTATCAAGCCAGGAGAGAAAATATCATATTTCTGTGCAAAGCTCTATTTCTCATCATGGTTATGCTGTGAAAAATGACCCTACAATTGAGGTAAATGGCTTCAAGGGGTGTTCTTTTGTTGCTTTGTATTTACCAATCAAGTTTGCAGCCTTGAAGCAGTGGACATTCTCACAATAAGTGAACTAATAACAATCACTACATATAGTTTCTGAAAACAATGCTTTGAATTACCTAAACTAAGTTTCTTCGTCACTGTTTTGACATACCGTTGGGATCTACTAGCGCCATATCTTGCACTTCCAGCGGTATTCCCATATCCTGAGGGTATTTTTCATCATACCATACGAGAAGTTCAGCCCCCACGGAAATCTCCCTGAACGCCCTGTAGTAAATGTTACCGCAGTATTGGAATGAGAAAAGGTTTTGTTCTTCTCTGTAGCGCGCGCAGCGGATGAAGCGCATCCAGCTCGATGTATTTTCGTCACTCGCGTCCAGGTAGTGAGAAAGTTTGCCATCTTGATAAATCTTTAAGGAAAGGGTGCAAATATATAAATAATATATTACCGCTAAGAAAGTTAATACGACATAAATTCTAACCCTTTCTTTCATAGATCGAGTCCTGATGGTGAGATGATTTTTCATGCTAACTTTTACATTTGTGGACGATATCCTACGATGCTAACCTTCTAGTGAAAAATCTTTGGTAGAGTCTTAGCGTAGTACTATTTATTTTTTAGGAAGTTACAAAAAAAATGTGTAAGTTTCAATAGTGACTGTTAAACCGTCCCCCGTTTTCTCCGTTTAGCATCGTCCGACCGAGCCAAATTTTGGGCATTTTCAAAGAAAAAAAACGACATAGTTAAACCTTTTTACTTTAATCAATTCTTTCAATCTGAAAAATGACCATTCTAACAGAATTTCCAGGCATAGAAGGTTTGGTAGAGTATCTCCTTTTTGCTTTTTACCATAATGACATCGACCATCATATTTTCATTAATTTCCGCCATATTGAGTTTGTGTGGATTTCGTGACCTTGTCTTGTTGTTTCCAGGCTCCACGACAATGATGCTGGGGTTTCAGGCCTCCTATTCACCGACTTTTTCTGATTTTTTTCTCTTTTTTTAAGGCTTGTTTTTTCATCCGACCAACCGACCGGAAAATCAGGAGACGCATTTGACGCTAAACGAAAAAGACAAAGGGAGGGATGGCCATTGGCCATGGAGTGAAAGGTTAAGACACGGGTGCAACAAAGCACTATTAAGAAGGAGTTGTTCCAGTCGTTCATAATTTGCAAAAAAAAGATCTGAGAATACACGCTAGTCGACATGAGTTATTTAGAATGAAATATTAATTGAAAACCGTTGATTATGGAGTACTGATGCCTTGGAGATGGTATTGCAGACAGGATTGTTACTCAGGGACTGTTTCCCCGGGGCTGTTTCGCCTTGCACCAGAGAGTGATCTAAATGACTATATCTCAATTTGCAAAAGCCCCTCGTGGTAATGCCCTTGGTGAATCAATATCGCCATCTCCACTAAGCTGCTTTAACCCTTTCCCTCCGAAGTGAAAGATGGAGAGTTGAAAGGTGGTTCTAACTTTTCATTCTGTGGTTAAGATGTGTAGCGTGGCGTGAGTTCAAATTGTGTACCATCACATGTTATTTCTTGTTTTTTCGGCATTTGACAAATAAAATTTGGAAATGTGGTCAAATTTTGACTTTGGCAACTTTTGGGAGTTAAACGGTTAATACCAAAAAATTTATCAAACTACAGAACGTTTAAATTACCTCCCACATGTATGACGTATCAGTGTTGGGTTTGACGTCATCACATTTGACATGTTTTCCCTCATACGGACCAATCCATGTGCCCACGGGAATATGCTGCTTGGCGCAGACTCCGCAGCCCGCTCCAGGAATGCTCGATACACATAACTGCACTTCCTCCGGAAATGAAGCTATGGCGTAACTAAACTTGACTGGCTGTTTCTGTCCAGGTATCACCAGTTTTCTTGTCAGCGCTTTGTGAGCTGGGCAGTCGCCTTGTTTGGAGCGGCAAGCTTCACAATCTAAAAACAAACTCAACTGTTACGTGTGGTTGAAATTCTAGCCTTCGTAGCTCACGGTTTTGTTGGGGAAGGGCAATCGGACGGGAGCACGAACGAGCGCCGAAGCCGCGAGGAGAATGGGGCGGAAAACCCGCTCATTTGAGGTTACATTTGAGGTCGTTTGAGTTTTGTTCGCACACGCCCTCGCCAATTCGCAGATCATTTGTTCGCATGCGAGGCACAACCGCCACCTACGCAGACCGTTGGAATTCGGTCTGAAATTCTGTCTATCAGAAGGATCTTTGGAGAACATTTTGATGGAGGGTCCTTTACGTAAGCAAGGGAGATGGGAACTTCCCCCGCCCCCCACCCGTTATCTTGGGAGTCAATCACAACTCCAAGGCCTTTTATTTACAAAAGTGGGAAATGTCCGTTTGGACCAAAAAAAAAAAAAAAAAAAAAAACAAAACGTGCCAGAAACGTGAGCAAAGCTGGGGTGACGGCAGTAAAGTAAGCAATGTCAATAAATCAGTAGTCTTTCACGCTTATTTAAACGTTGCTCTCCATGCACGCCCCTGGAAAATTCAGAAAATACTTCCGTCGAAACACAAGAACAGGAAAACCTGATATGTATTTATCAAGTATAAAAAACATTCCAAGACATACTTAGAGTCTGGGAATAATAAATGTTGTCTGTAAAGCTAACCTTAATAATAAGTAATACTACTTTTAACGGAATTAATCTTTGGCATACTACCAGGAATGTAATAAACCCGCTTTATTTCGTTCAAAAACAAACGTAGTTGGCTTTACAGTTTCGTAATTCAATCCAAAGCTTTCTAATTAAAGCCGGGGCCAAGGTCCATTGAGAGAAAAAAAATTTCACTCCCACCGACCTGAAAAAGGGTGTGGTCTCTAAGACCCCCCCCCCCCGTCTTTCCCCCAAATCAAGGATGGAGAAATGGAACGATCTGGCTTTCGCACCGCTTCCTTGATTTCGGGGGAAAGGCGTTCTGCTCTTCCATTTCATTCTGTCGAAGATTGTAGCTTAGCTAACCGATATATAATGAGACTTTGCGGTTGTAAGATACATAACACCCTCTGGATAAGTATTGCAATATTTCCTCCCTTAGCACTGATTATGATTTTCGGACTAGACTGCTTGCAGTCCAGCTTTTCTCTTAAACTCCGTCTAGTTCTTATCTCATCCAGCGCGCTTGCAAATAACGACGATTCAGCTTAGGTTTCGCGTGCAGTAACTTTGCAAAGAAAAATAAGAGACTGCTCGAAGTCTATATTCGGACTGATCAGCGATGTTTTTTATCGATCCAGCATAAAAAGTAACAAGATTATGACGCTTCGCAGAGGCTTTCGGTTGTCAGTCGTTCTTAATTTTCCGTTACCAGGTGACTGTCTTACACTTTCACGAATTACTTTGTAAAACACGAAAATCTGTTACCCTTAAGATTTCATTAATTATGACTTGGAATATATTGGATTCACTTAAAAGCCACCCCCCTCATTTCTTCCTCATTTTATTGATTTATCCTTTTGACCGGGGGTCCTCCCTTTAAAAGGATAAAAAGGGGGTTAAGTTCCACTCCTTTCTTTATTTATCAAAGAGTTATTTTTATCAAAACGTTTGAAAGGGGTCATTCTGCTTTAATTCTATACGGGGCAGAGGTGCTACTCTTTCAGTCAAAATGGTCCACAAAAATGAATTGATTTAAAACCCACCTTTGGTTTTGAAATGAACTTTCTCTGGCGCGCTCTCCTCTCTCTGTCCACCACTGGCAGAGAGAGCAAATTATACTCCTCAAAACTGTTCAAGTAAGAAATGGTCTCTAATTATCTTCAAACCGAAAAGAGATTTCTCTTCTCGCTACGTTTCTATTGGGTTCAACGCTTGGTGGGTCCGTACAACCTTGAACTAACGCTTCTCATTTTAAAGAAGGATAGAGTTTTTTTATGTGTAAATCAAAACACTTCCATATCAAAGACGCCGCCAAAATAGCGATGACCAAAATGTTGTAACATAAACTTTTCAGAACACGTAATCAGAAAGTCTCAAGAATCTACAAACAAAGCGCTCATTTATCTGTGTTCCAGTTATAACGTCTGGGTTATAGCTCCTCCCCCTAATTAAAGTCTAAGAATGTTGAATTTTCTTCGATGACAAAACAAATGCACTGTAAGTTCCGTAAACCGGAAATATCGTGACCTGAAGCAGTCTTGTGGCTTCTGTGGCGGTTTTTTTAATGCATTGGGTGGGTGGGCCTACCGAAAAAACACTTTCACTGAAAGTGCAGCAAATCTTTCATCGTAGCCTTCCTCAAAAGTGAGGAAAAGGGTCTTGGATAGGTATCATTGGAAATGTCATTGGTTACATTTTTTGCATGTTTCAGATATGATGATACTAAACAACTTACAGGAAGTGATTAATTGTTTTAACACCCTTGGGCGCAAAGATTTTTTACTATTAGGAAAAAAAAAGAATATTTTTTTTCGGTATTTGTGACAGTGAATGTCTAAGACAAGATTTAACGTCAAATCTACAATTAGGAACATTAACCAATGTTGACATGGAATTTTCAAAATTCTTTAATACAGCCCTATAGGCTGTTTTATTTGATACAGTCCTATACTAAACAACACTAGGGGGTCTTCCTTGAAGTCCTTCATGAAAACACAAAGTTCACTTCCTTTTGCTTGTGAAGCCGGAAAATTGGTTTTAAAAACACGGAGGATCATATCATTCCCCATCACAAACATGCGTACCCCCTGGACTTCAAAAGTCACATTTGTTTGTTTTGAACTGGCTATTATCGTTATTTTTTTTTTGTTATTTTTTTTAAGCTGACAACAAAAAATTTAAGCCTTTTTTTCAGCTTTTTTATCTGTTTTTCGAAGGATTGTTAACGTCTAGAAATTGAGGAAAGGTCTTAATATCGCGGCTGTACATATGTTTCAAACCTAAAATCAATTAACATAACGGTAGAAACTAAGTTACCGCAAACATGTTGTTTATATAACTCTGTGTTACGGATCAAGAGTAAAAATATTGTAGTTAGAGCCAGCATTCAGTGACTTACTCAAAACTTCTTTTTGTGTATCCTTTCCATCGTTTTGGCTTGCTTTTCTTTGTCCTTTGAATACCTCAATATCGATGAGTTGTGGTTCATTGTGTCTGTACAAACAATTGTACAAGTCGTCATAGGTAAACGTAAATCGCCTGTGACTGGTGTTTGTATTGGTGTGGTAAGATGCCGTACTTTTGGCGGGAAACTGACTGCTGAACACAACGCCATTTCGCGCCATTTCTGCTGCAATCACAAACAAGCAAAACCGCATTTTAAAGTTGTCTCAGTCATTTTTCTGAAATCATGTAAAATCTGTCTTCTAGAGCCTTATTTTTTCGACACAGATGTTCTCAGAGGGTAACCAATGAATTATACCATCTTTATCTAAGTAGGCAGCAATTTTCACGATCCCCTCTATCTGAATTTTTTGGATCCGACCTTGAAAAATTCAATACAGTCAAACACATACTTGTCTGTAACGGGTTAAAAACTAGGTGATGAAGAAACAGCAAATTTCTAGTCTAGGTCTTACCTTGACGTAGTTAAAATATCTGTGAGAAAGCCTAATTCACTTAGTAAACAGTCTAATGTTGTTAACTGCATATACTATGGCAAATGTGTTTTTACTGGGGATCTACCACCAGTTTAGTGATCTAGTTTGGAAGGACGCTTGACTGTTGACTGATCACATCAATCAGGTTTCATCGAACCGAAAACACGATCAGTTACGGTTAGGAGAAAAAACATTGGTTTGAAAAGGAAAAATAATAATTCAAGGAACCGACGCCGCTTTTTGCACCCCCGCTCAGAAGAATCCAAAATCACATTGCGGTCGCATTATGACTGTTAAGACGTGTTCCGGGCTTTCCACCTCGTGGAAATCAGAGTAAACGATAAAGCTGTATTTGTTGGATGACAGCGAGATCTGGTATGTAGCCCGGGGTATGTAGTACTGTCTTATTACGAAAATAGCGGTTTAAAAACAGACCAGAGCTTAAAACAACACCCGGGACAAATCACAAGACAAATGAGACGTCAGCTAATTCACGCCGAACTGTAAAAGCTGCAGTTGTGTTTTCATGATAATCGAGTTCAATTCGTGTTTTTACTGCGTTGTATTAAAATAGAACGCAGTAAAGGGATTGTTTGAATCATTATGTAATACTGTGAATCCTCATTATCAATTATGCAATATATTTTTTGAATGGAAATTAAAATTTCTATTAGCTTCTCATAAGAACCATTTGGTTCTTTTTAAAAACACCCTCATCTTTTCTTTTCTGGACAAGCTAGACGACGTGGCAATTTCCTCGAATTCCCCTAGAATCTACTTCGCCTAGACGGCAAACTTAAACGACAAGTTTCACATTTTCCTTTAAATATATCTTTGTCTGGCGGTTTTGGAATGTAATAAACAAATCAGTATCAGATGGAACAGCGTTTAAACATAGCCAAACCACACTTGACGTTAAGCAAGAACGTCCTGTAATAAAAACAGTTTTGTTTCCTGTTTATTGATAATCTGGTGTATGTTATTATTCTTCGTGTACCAATCTGCATGTTTCTTTCAGTGGTAAAAGTTAGTAAACACAATTTACTGAGGGAAACTGAGTTGCTTTCTTTCAGACTCGATGTACGAAGAAAAGAGTACCCATTTCACAAATGAAAACTTATTTATAGTCAGATCCTGTTTGTAGTCACGTGTTAGGCAAATGGAAACGGTCTGAACTGACGAAACATTAAACGTAACAAGTTTTGGCATTTGAATCAACGAGAATCAACGAGATAACTTTAAGAACTTCCTGTTTCATGTGATTAGGGGGTATTTAACAAAGCACCGGTATTCATGTCGCAAAGAGATATGAAATTTCTGCCCTCGGCAGATACAGATTTGTTGTCTTTTCTCAATTCATTTTCCGGAACGCATGTATGGCATTTAAATACA